GAGCGGGAAAACCACAATGAAGTTTTCAAGAAAGTTTGACACTTGCGATTCAGAAGACAACAAAATTGAGGTAAATAAGTCACCTGCTATTAGATCGTTTGCAAATGACGTCATCGCCGCCACGTTGCATGTTAATTCTAACTACAATCATGGACGAAACTGTGGGACAAACTCGCGGGACTTTTGGCGCTTTTGGGTACAAGCCAGACGCCAATACAACTTCACCTGCCTAACCTCGCCCTCCAACCATGCAATGTTGAAAACTACTACCCGATATTGTTTGGGGAGAGGGAACAGTAACGCGTTTTTAAAAGGAAAGCAGTGCTTTTTTCAAACTTCAGAGGTAAAAGAAAGATAATTCGTTAAATTACATGAGTGTCTTAAGGAGTTTTGTGCACGATTCTAGCTTTATTGCTCCTTACAAGACAACTGTTTTCCAGTCCAAGTGACTCCTTATCCCTAAACTTATTTCCGGTAGCGTTTTTTCTTATTTAGTGTTATAATTCTTCTTATTATTTTTTTTTATCTTTATTTTTTTATGTTTTATCCAGAGCATGTTTTCTTGGCCGGTATGTTTTTATATACAACTGTGAATTATATTTTACGTGCGACAATTCAAATTATTCTTCGATGTATTCTTTTTCTGCCTTTTTATCGCCCGAGAACCCACCACGTGACCTGCAAACTTACTGAACTGCCTACAAATACAATAGGGGAGATTCATGCTGACGTCATTGTTTACGTTTTTGCTCATTTGCATAGGGCTCTGCGTACAGAAGGAAGTATGTTATTTGTGAATTGACTCCAGGCGGCTAGTAAAGCTCAATACATGGTGAAATTTTTAGCTCTTTGGATGTAATATTCAAGGAGATATTGTCTTTCAAAAACTGCAAAATTTCTGAGTGGCAAAAGCGCTAATGAGCTCATACATGTATTCTTTGTAAAATTTTGAGTTTTTAAACCCTTTTGCACAAAAAGTATTCAATACATAAGGAAGAGTTAATCATACTAAGGCCTTTCAATATTTAGAAGTGATAAATTTCTAGCTCCACCAGAAACTGAATTGCTTATGCTAGTGAGACAAATATTATAAACAAGGATTCCCCTATAGCGGTCTTATCATGGGTAATGTCGTCTAACTGTGTTTTTGCTGTAAATAATATTGAGCTCATGCGTAACTGTGACCACGCTTTGGTGTGAAGAAAAGGCAGATCGCCTCATTTTCACAGCTGCTTAAAGGAGCCCAGTCACGGCATTTCAGGTTATTTTTCTCGCGTGCGCATGTAGAATTACCTTGAGTTGAACAAACCCCTAAAATAGCAGTACACTGATCAACATGGAAATACACCCAAGGGATAATAGTTAACCATAAAGTAACAAGGATACTTAAGGATGGAGAAGATTGACACGGATTACAAACGAAAAACTTGAAAAAAATAAATAGGCTAAGCTTTTCAAGATGAGCAAAGCGTGACGTACATAACTGCGATGATCATTCATTGTCTTCACATTATGTTTACACTTCCTTTATTTTTCCAGGCAGGAACGACCAAAGTTATTTATGCTTATCATCCAGACGATCCTTCCTCAGAAAATAGCATTCCAGGCCACAATCTCAAAAACATGGGATCGAGAAGTCTCTTACTACTGAACAGTCTTGAAAAAATACCAACCTTGCCATCTGACACTAAAACATTCGACATACTGCACGACAAGGTAAGAATGGTAAAATAATTCGTGTTATCGTGCATACCTTTTGCTTTTCGTTTTAATTCCCTCGAAGGAGAGGTGGTTCAAGACTTTTGGCACCTCCCACTTATTGCAGTGAATTTGAAATCTAAGTAGAAACAGCTTGCAGCATCATTATCTTTCAATATCTTGGAAAACTTCCCATAAACGTTCATGACAGGTAAGATAGAAGAATTTCAAAGCTAAGCAACCAAATACTATGTCTACTTTTTTTCAAGAGAAAAAAAAGCTTTGGCGTTTTTGTTTGTTTTGACTCGTCTATCAATGGCACGTCGAGACTCGCGTACTTGATACAAGCAGGGCCAATTTTAAGGAAGGCAAGACTAACGCTACGGACAATAGAGAAACTTCCTTAAAGTTTACTAGATTGACATATCACCCATTCAGACCGCACAGTTTTTGAAGGTGTGAGAGGGGAGCGTTGTGGGGAGGGGAACGGGGTTGTGAGCTTTTGAGGCCCTCGACCTCTATCTCTTACATCATTTAAGTTTTCACAATAAAACTTGGAATATTTACTAATAACATGGAATGATGACATCGTATGATGTTGAAACGACGCCATCATTTCTGAACAGCCACTATCTTGGCTCGACCAATTTGGATCATATGATCTTTAAAGAACTTTAAAAAAAAAATCAAAATTGTCAAAACCAGAAGCATATCACCTTCTGTCAAAACCGATAAAGCTAACATCCAACTAAGAAATAAAAATACGAAAGTTAAAATATTCTCTGTTAAAAAAACCCAAGAAAATTGGAAATTGGAAAACAAATACATTAAGATCCCTGATTAATGATTAACTTATTACTCAAGTTATTTCCAGATTCATTCTTTACCCTGGGGACTTTTGAAATAAAAGGCCTCCATAGTTTGTGAGGGCTTCAAACTTCACTCCGCCCGGTCTGAGTAGGATTAAAGTTAGGCCCTTAACACTTCCAAAAGTGCAGATAATAATAAAACTACTCCATTTGAATATTCTTATGTATATAACTAGTTAGCTCTACTTAAAGAGGCCTTCTTTTTATGTTTATTTTCCAGATGGCCCTTCCAAAGGGACGAACCAACTACATGTGTGCCGTATTTGAGATGCCAAGATTTAATGAAACCCACCATATGATTAAGGTAGGAATATTTCGTTTCAACTACTTAAAAAAACACAGAATATTTAAAATAGAACACCAACAATTGGTTGGTGACAAGTGAGGTTAAGTAATTGTTGGTCGGTAGGTCGGTCGGTAGGAGAGTAGCTAGGTAGGTCAGTCAGTCGGTGGGTCGGTCGATCAGTCTGTCGG